GCCGGGGGGGGGAAATGCCGATCCGGGGAAGGGAAAGGGGAAGACACGTGTAAACTCGGCACGATAGCACGGAGGGGTTCACGTGTCTCCTACCCACCCACCCCTCCTCGGGTGTCCCCAAGGGGGGCCCTTTGGAGGGTGGCCAGATTGGAGGGGGGTTTGAAAGGCAGCAATTATGGGGAGGAAAAAAGGGGGGGTGAGCAGGTACCTCAGGGAAGAGGCCAATGGGTTTCCTGACTGGCAGTTTTAAATATTTATTCACTTATTTATTGCATTATTGGCTTATTTGTTTGGTTACCTGTTTACTTATATAGCGAATGTTTACATTGATTTTATTTTACTTACTGAGCCTCTCCTTGTGCTTATTAAATTACATTTGTTTTAAAAAAATCCCACCTGGCAAGAACAGGATCATGCCTCTTACCACAACAGAAATGCCAAGGGAAATGCAAAGAAGGCATCGTCGGGTCCACGGCAAGATCCCCGAAAAGGGGATAAAATCACAAGGAGAGGAGGCGGCCTGGCCGAGAGACGTTCATGCGTTCGAGATGGAATGAGTGGAAACCCAGATTTGAAAGGTGGAGCTGAACGGCCAGAAAGACCCAACAAGCAGGTCTTAGATCAAATCATGCCTGAACAATCTCCAGAGGTGAAGATGATGACACTGAGGCTGTCTTACTTTGGGTGGATCATGAGAAGACAGGGTTCTCTGGAAAAGACCATCCTGCGGGGAAAGGCGGAAGGCAGCAGCAGGAAAAGAGGAAGACGCCCAGACAAGATGGACGGACTCCCTAAAAGAAGCCACAGGCTTGGGTTTGCAAGAGCTGATCCGGGACTTTTGGGGGCCGCTCATCCATAGGGCTGCCGTGAATCAGAGGCAACATGACGGCACAGAACAACAAGGGGGTATCTTTAATCTTTAGTTTACCATCTGTGGCCAAATGTGATTGGTTTTCCTGACTGGCAGATTTGGCTTTGACAGTTGAGTTCAGGGTTCAATTTCCACCGGGAAGGTTGTGTTTTGTTTTTTTTTTCATTTGGCAAGTGAAATGGCTAATGAAACTGAGAAGCCGGTTTTGCCTTGTGCTGTATTACAGGATGGCCGTGAATTCCGATGGAAGCTGTTTGGTTTTCTGACTAAGTGTGACTTTATTTATTTATTTAAAATAGGCTTGACCCTGGCTTTCTCCTTAAAAAAGGACCGAAGGCACCTTTTTTTTAAAAAAAATGCTTAATTCCAGGATTCCCTCTCATAAACCTCTGTTTTTCACATCCCGTTCTCCCCCATCCCTTCCAGGTGCCGTCTCCCCGCTCGTGAAACGCAGGTCTGAGAGGAAAATGGTCTCTCCAGCGCAGTCCTTAACAGAAACCAAGGCACGCTCGACAGCGACCAAAACGCTGGGCAGTCCGGTACGTGAGAGAACCCACTGTGGATTTTTTTTTCTGTTATAAATCAGTGTGGAGGGAATAAAAGTTTGGAAGAGGAAGGAGAATCGTTTAAGTTTTGAGGCAGAGAGAGTGTGCAGGGAGTGAAGCGTCAGAGCGTGATCGGTATTAGTTAAGATAGAAGAGATTACAGGCATAAAGGCTGCAACCAAATGAGAGATGCTTGTTTATTTGCTTGTTTGTTTATTAATTAAAATTCTATCCCACCCATCTAGACCAAAGGTCTATTAGTTAAGATAGAAGGGGTTAAAGGGAAAATTCTGAAGCTTTCTGTAACTTTAAGAATGTGCGTGAGAACCATTCCTGAAAAAACTTAAAAACCAATAAACCTGTTTTTATTTCAAACTTAATTCTTGAATGGACCTCAGTCTTTCCTAGGAGATATAATTGGTAAAGAGATCAAGGGGTGGCACTTTTTTACCATAAAAGGAGCCCCCAGGCCAGCAGCCTCCCTGGTCAATGAGTCATCATCTCCTGTCACAATAGTAAAACCAGCCTTCCCCTCCTCACACATCCTTTGCCCCATCACTTTACTGCTTCCAGTAGAGAGAGAGACTGGGTGTCTGATCTGTCTCCTGACGATGGAAGCAATGATCGTAGATGGCCAAGACTCTGTCGGAGTCCTGGCTGAAAAAGAAAAGGAGGTCCTTTCCCAAGGACCAGCCACGGATGTGCTTGAGCACCTCAACGCTTCGGCCCCAGGAATGAATAAAGTTCCGTGGCCGAAGCTCTTGTCCCTTGTGGTGGCAGAGGGAGACACTCCTGCTCTGACGCCACTCTGCAGGCGCCTGAAGGAGTTGGCCGCCCTTCGGCCGGAAGGATCCAGGCTGCACCTTGGGTCTTGCCAAGGAGGAGTAACACTTCCAAGTCCTCAGCAGCTCCTTGTGCGGCTTCTGGTCTCGGCTGCCCCTCGTAGCCGGAGAGGGTTCTGGGCCCTCCAACTTCTGCACGCC